AAAGACTATAGGCACAGAGAATTGGGACAAGAAACTATTCCTCCTTCTTAGCCAAAGTTAAAGATTTTGTTCCTTTGGTACTACGTAACTATGAAAGAAAATCAGGCAAAATTATCTTTATGTAGATATACAATTTTTACATATAAGGGGCTGGCCTGGTAGCTCAGTGAACTAAAGCACCTGCTTAGGCAAGGTGCAGCGGCTGGGGTTTGATACCAAGCATGTCGTACCAGCCCCATCCATGGGGCTTGCTGAGAGGGCGGCTGAGACTGGGCATCAAGGTGAGTGCTTGTAATCCTAGCATTTGGGAGGCTGAAAACAGGAGGATCACTACGAGTCTGATCTATGTAGTGAGACCCAGTAACCCTGTAGAACCTGTCCTAAATACAGAAAGAAAAAAAAATCTTCACATGTAAATAAATATATATAATTATCTTTCTATAAGTTTCAATTATTATTCAAGAGCAGATCTCAGACAATTCATATGTTCTTGTGTGGATGGCACTTCTTAAGTCTTGCAAGCAGATCCTCTCAGCTCTAAATACCTACCGTATCCTACTACATTTTCCACAATGTACCTAGTGATGAGTGTTTTATAAAATATATTTATATAGATGTAGGAGTGACACAACGACGGACAGAGCCCCTGGAAGAATGAGATTTTTAATGAGGGTTTGAATACTGAGGACAAGATTGACTTATGGCAATTTTTACAAGAGTTCATGTTCAGTATCAGAGTCACTCAGTTTGAAAGAAAAGGCAAGCCATGGTGTACACTAAACTAGAGTACACAATTCATACCACAAACAAGTCCCATGCTGTTACTCAACACACTATGTTTCACTGCAGTAACACAAAAAGATTCTCTTAAAAATATAAAATCCTGACCAACCACAACCCCATGCCATTTAAAAACATACACAAATATTCATAACACAGGTTCAGATGTATACTTATAAGCTGCTATTCAGATTCCTTGATTCTTGTCCAGAATGTCTAGGAATACATACTCTTCTTTCAGCTCATCTTTCCTTCTGTCGTTAGTGATGAGTGTCACTATCATCTCTGCAGCGTGAAGAACCGCCACTGTCGCTCAACAACCAAGAAAAGCTCAAGCACACACTCAGTGCATATCATCCGTGGTTGGTTTCTAACACTTATGTCCGTATCCCCAATCCTTTCCAAAGACTATATTCCATAAATGATTTAATGTCTCCAGTCATTCTCCAATCTAATCAGATTGATTGCTCTAATCTGATGTGAGAATAAGTATATTATAATAATATACTTATTCTCACATCAGTTTTTGTATACCATTGATCACACTCTCAACAGCAGTTATCTAGATTAATATTGATCACCTCATCTGATTAAGCATGTTTATATATAATATTCTCTATATTAAAATATTCTTATGTGTTGAATATCATAAGAATTAACTGTTAAATTCATTTTAGTATATATATTTTTTCTTTTTTAGTATGTTATTTCTCTTTGAAATTTACCACATATGATCTCTTATTACTACTTTTCTGTTACCAAAGTATGCTGTAGGATTGGGATTACATACTTCACATATCTCAGTGAGGGTGTATATTAACATACAAAAAACATAAGAAAGTCTACTTAAATGAAAAAATTCATAGTTTAGATATTCTTACTATAGCATATGAATTAGAGAAGATATAAAACTTCCAATAATGAATAATTCATCCATTTTCTTTTAAAAATTTTATTTATTTGGTCCAAGATCGTACTATGCAGCTCAGCCTTGTAGTGATCCTCCTCTCTCAGCTTCCCCAGCATGGAGATTACAGGTGCGTGTGTGCCATCATGCCCAGCTTAATTGGCTGGCTCAGCACCTGGGGCCAACACAGCATGCAATACCAGGGATCAAACCTGGGTCTTTGAGCTTGCCAGACAGGCATTTAGACCACTGATCTATCTTCCCAGCCCCAATTCATCCATTTTAAACAATGTTATATAAAACATTTTCAGAGGTTATACTTTCTTCTGAACTCACGCCACATTGAAGATTAGATGCCACTGAAATGTAAAATAAAGGAAAAAGGGCATATCTTCATACAGACAATATTCAAGCTGGATAGTCCCAACTTTCCCAACATATACTTACCCTTGCACTTATTTCCCATTTATCTGTGTGTTGGATTACCCACCCAAAACAGAAAAGATGTTCTTCAGACTATTCCAAGAGATCTAAAAGACATTTAACTACTTTTAGATATTTGACCTCTTTTAATTATTTGACCCTTCCTCTAATGGTGTGCCTCCCCTAAATTTCCTTTTAAGTATTCCAGTCATCCTGCAAAGAAACTCTCTGCTCTCTTGTTATAATACTAACTTACCCTCAGTTAACTTTGGACTACTACAGTGTTCCTTTTGGCTCTTACTTTTTTCTTTCCTTCTCTTAACTTTCCCTTCTCTTTCTTCTGTAAGGAATTGGAGCTTCCTGGACTTTACATTCTAAAACTAAGGAAAATTTCAGTTGTGCAAATCCTTAGGACAGTGCTCTGTCTCCACCGGTTTAATGGGCCCTCCGTTGCCTCCTCACCCTGTTATTAGAAGTCCCAGGTCCAGTTAATAAACACAAC